TTGGTCTGTTATGGGGGCGCTACTGGTGCTTAAGAAATGTTTCCCTCAAAATACGATAAAGGATTATGACTTCCACAAAACAGAATAATGGGTACAAATCTAGGGCCTTCCCTTTAATATGATGACAAATAACTCCTCATGGCGAATTGGGATGATTATTGGGGAACCTAGTCAACTTGAAGAGTTTGTTGGGGAGTTATTGCTACATAGAGGCTATTTACGTGTTAATTGCATTATTGATCTAAATGATCATCTGAAGAAAGGTTTCTTCCTTGCTCGAGAACAATTTGATGACCTCTGGATTAGTTTCAAGTATGAAAGGTTGTTTGACTTTTGTTATCAGTGTGGAAGGGTTGGTCATGCTCAAAATCAATGTGTTGAGAGAAAGTTGAATGCACAGGCCAGTTTTGGACCAGACCTTTGAGCCCAAAGTACTCAAGCAACTTGTTTTTTCAAAGAAAATTGGTCAGGGAAGAATCATGAAGAAGAACACAGCGGCAACTAGGAGAGGAAGGGAAACAACTGAACTTATGCCGGAGAAGATGTAGGATCATCAGCAGCTAATCTTTTTTCAGAACAGATACAGACACGAGGTCATAAGGAAGGGACAAGCAATGTACATCCAAGGAATGTAGTGACCCCACAAGGTGCAGAGTCAGAAAATTGATTCAATAAGGATAGAATAGTGGAACCACAACAGAGCCAAAAGGATTGTTTAGAGGCGGAGATACGAGACAACTCACCTAGTAAGGGAAAACGATTTGGACCTTTTGTTTTTTACATCATCAGAGAGTCGCATCTATGAGAAAGGAAAAGGCATCCATGACAATGAAAGAGAAAACAGAGTTCCAGAACTGGAGGCAACCTAGAAAGCCCAACAGTAGGGGTGCCCTCGAAGGAGAGATTACTACGTTACAGAGCCTGTAGAGAGCCCGAATAGCCTCTCAGAAAATGCCCTAGAGGACATCCAGGTTAATAGGTCTGATTCACTATGGACACGACTCTTGATTTTAGGGGCCAAAGAGGTAATTGCTGATGAGAAGCTACAAAGAAATTTTCAGGATATGTCACTCAAAAGGAAAGCCATTTTGGAGGAAGAGGACTCCATTGAAGATACATTAGTCCGAAAGAAGAATAGAAGGGAACATCACTCCGAACTGGAAGAAAGAATTAACTAAGTCATCCAGATAAGTGAACCAGCAGCCTGTAGACATAAAGCGGGGAGCTCAAAAGGCAAGGCGAAGCTAGGGCATCGAGCTAGAACAAGAAGGCAAATGAGGGACACAAGGGAGCCAATTCACTCAGAATTGTATTTTGCTGCACTGGCAAAGCAAGAGGAATAGATCAATAACGAGATACAGGAGGAACTTGGGGAGAATAACCTCAATCTTTGCATGTCCCAGTGGGTTTTCCAAATCCCAGAAACCCCAGTTTTAGAGATGGATACTCTATTGAAATTGATATAGGTGGTGGTGGCTGACTAACAACAGCCACAGGCCCCATGTTAATTTTGTCCTTGAACTATTAGGGAATGTCTGGACAGTTTGAACCTTGCAAGGGATAATCAACTCCCATCGCCTAGCAATAGTCTTCTTAATGGAGACAAAGAATGGCAATAATAAACTAGAATTGTTGAGGAGGTCTCTTCATTTCCCCTATGGTGAATATGTAGAACCGAGGGGATTATCAGGTGGTCTCGCACTGTGGTGGACTGCAGAGGTATGCTTACATATTACAGAAAAAAAACATAAATATGATCATTGTTGTAGGTACGTGACACAACCAAACTGAAGAGTGACAGGGTTCTTTTATCTATGCTGATACTGACTTTGACAAAAGACAGCGGTTATGGCAAGACCTGAAGGATTTGGCTAGATCAACCCACATGACATGGATGGTCACTGGTGATTTTAATGTGATTAGTTCTCTTTGGGAGAAGGAAGGGGGAAGAGCTGCTAGTATGAAAAAAGATGGAGGAGCTGCAAGGGTTCATTCTTGAATGCAATTTTTTGGAAACAGATTTCAAGGGGCCGAAATTTACATGGTCTAATAACCGCCTAGGTGGGGCCAATGTTCAAGAAAGGATTGACAGAGTGCTGGTAAATTCAGAGTGGAGTGTTCGTTTTCCTCAAATGCAAGTCATTCACGAAGCCAGAATGGGTTTTGACCATTGCCCAGTTGTCATTAATTTAGAGCCAGGCCTAAAAAAGAGTTCATTTTATTTCAAGTTTGAATCTATGTGGCTGGACGACTCAATGTGTGAGGGGATTATTCAGAATAGTTGGGAAAACAGAGGGTTGGGATCACCGATGTATGTGATGGCAAAGAAACTACAATGGTGTGCAAATAACCTTTCCACTTGGAGTAGACAGAAGTTTGGAAATAACAAAAAGTTGATTGTTGATCTGTCCTTGGTTCTTACTGGAATTCAGATGAAGGAGGCCACTGAGGAGAATCTTAGAACAGAGGTTGTTATTTGTGCTGAAATTGACAGTATTAGAGCTCGGGAAGAAAAATTTTGGAAGCAAAGGGCAAGGATTAATTGGTTGGAATCAAGTGACCATAAGACAAGAAATTTCCATCAAACAACCATACAGAGGAGGCAACGGAACATGATTCTTAGATTAAAGACAGAGGAGGCGGTGTGGATCGAGGACGAGGAAGAGATATGCAACCATATAACAGGCTATTTCCAAAGTCTTTTTTCATCAAGGGTCCGAGGAATTTCGATGAGGTGTTGGAGGTGGTGGATTGCAAGGTTTCCGACCAGATGAACCAAAGCCTATTGCATGACGTAAGTGACGAAGAAGTTTTTAATCAGGGGTTTATTTTCATCTTTTTTTTGGCACATTGTTGGAAAGGAGGTTTGCAGCGTGGTGAAAAGTTTTTTTGAAGGGGGCTTTATGCTGAGAGAGTTGCATAGAACAAACATTGTTCTAATTTCCAAGGAGGCAAATCCAGAATCCATTTCACAATTTCGACCAATTGCTCTCTGCAACTTCCTTTACAAAGTGATTTCTAAAGTCATGGCTAACAAAATGAAGGGATTTTTGAATGGCATCATCTCTCCACAACAAGCGACTTTTTACCAAAAGGCAGATCCAGGACAGTGTTATTGTGGCAAATGAAGTCCTCCATCACCTGAAGCTGAAAAAGAAAGGCAATATTCCTGAGATGGTAATCAAAATGGATATCAGCAAAGCATATGACAGAATTGAATAGGACTTCCTGGAAGCAACTTTGCTAAAACTTGGTTTCCACCCCAATGGGTACATCTCATCACTCAATGTGTTTGTACAGTTAGCTTCCAAATTATTGTGAATGGTCAAAGAATGGATGTATTTTATCCTCAAAGAGGAATTCGTTAAGGGGATCCTTTATCTCCCTATCTTGTCATCTTGGTTGCTGATGTGTTATCTTTGATGCTAAAAAGAGCTGTGGACGAACAACATTTTTTGGGAGTTAAAGTTCGAAGAAGAAGCCCCGCTGTCTCCCACCTTCTTTTTGTCGATGACTCTCTGTTTTTTATTAAGGCAAAGGAGCAGGATATATATAATTTGGTGAGTATACTTGGAAAATTCTGTATGGCATCTAGACAGTGCATGAACTACCTCTTGGGAAAATTCTCAACAAACACAACAGCTAATCAAAAAGCCCATTTTTGTAACCTCTTGGGAATGCAATCACTTTCACCTGAGGCAAGGTATTTGGGGCTCCCTACTTTTTGGGGAAGATCAAAGAATGAGGTATTTGGGTTCTTATTAGAATGTGTCTTGAAAAAGATGCAGGGATCGAGGGGTTTATTGCTTACACAAGGCGGGAGAGAGATTCTAATAAAGGCTGTGGTTCAAGCAATTCCGTCTTATGCTATGTCAATTATTTTTTTTCCAAAATGTTTTTGCGATAAACTTGATAGGTATGTAAGGAATTTTTGGTGGGGAAATGGAGGGGAGAAGCGAGGTATTCATTTGAAAAAATGGGAGAAGATAGTGGATTTAAAGGTAAATAGGGGTATGGGTTTCAGGGATTTTCATTTTTTCAATCAAGCGCTTTTGGCCAAACAAGGTTGGAGAATTCTTCATAATCCAGATTCCTTTTGGGTTAAGTTTCTTAAGTCACTCTATTTTCCAGATTGTGATTTTATGGTTGCAAAAAAAGGAGCGAGACCTTCATGGTTTTGGAGTGGTATATTGAAGGGGCGAGGGTTGTTGGAGAATGGGCTATTATGGCAGGCTATGGATGACAATAAGATCAATATCTGAGATGATAAATGGATTTCTCTTCTTCCAACATCAGCTATTTCCACCACTGGGCCTCAACCTTGTGATATTGAATGTGTAAGTCAACTCATCTCTCAGCCTTTCCAAGTTTCGAGTATAGACTTGATGAAATCCCTGTTTAATGAAGCTGAATGCAAGGCTATTTTGTCTATCCCAATTCCGAAATTGAGTGGGAGTGACTGGAGAATCTGGCAACCAAGTTCGAGTGGAGTGTACTCGGTCAAATCAGGTTATTCATTGGCATCTCATCTTCATTCCGCTGGTTTACTGGAAGCTAGTTCTTCTTTTTCTTCCCATCCGAAGCTTTGGCATATTATATGGCATATGGAGGCTCTCCCAAAGGTTAGACATTTTCTGGTGGAGGGCTTGTAATAATGCGTTGGCTTCTTGTGAAAATCTGTTTAAACGGAGATGTGTTGACTCTCCATGGTGCCAAATTTGTAATGACAAGGTGGAATCAATTGAACACCTTCTCTTTGGTTGTGTCTGGACTAGAAAGGTGTGGTTTGGCTCGGATCTTGGATTCCGATTTGAAGAGGAGCTGCCTGTATTGTATCAATAGTCATTTGGGTTTCGTCAATTTTGGATGCCATCAATAATACAGCCAGATCCCTGGAGATTATGGGCAAAGTTGGGACGACCGCATGAAATATTTGGAAGGGGAGAAACTAGTTGGTGTTTAACCGCGAAGACCCAAATGCACTTTCCACTATTTTCAAGGCAAAACAATCATGGAGTGAAGTGATTTCCGTCAGAAATGGTGTTGATCGGTGCAGGCTGTCTTCTACCAGGTTTGTCCCCCCTCCTCTGAGCTTTCAAGGCCCAAAAATCAGCTGTGATGAGGCGTTCAAAGATAAGAGGGCTGCTATAGGAATTATTCTGTGGGATACAAATGATTGTATGGTGGACGGCATTGGAAAGAAAATCCCTGCTGTTTCAAGTCTTTTTTGCAGAGGCGGCAGCAGTAAGAGAAACCTGTTTACTTGCTCATGCATCTCACCTCCAGATTTGCACAGTGGGCCAGTTGTCCTCCGTTAGAGTTTCAAGCTTTTTTTGCATCTGACTGTAATCATACCTTTCCTACTTGAATGAATTTCTTTATCTTCCTGATCAAAAAAAAAAAGAATAATGTGTGTGTGTGTGTGTGAGAGAGAGAGAGAGAGAGAAGTAAAGCACAGCAAGAAGCTGAGGAATGTTTTTGAGGCAGACATGCACGTGAGAATGAGATGATATAAGAAGAGAGACGTAACTACATATAAAGTGGAAAGTTTAGATTATTTGGAACTCTTTTTATAAGAAACAATAGATGTACCTCTGTAGATATCAACACAAGGGTACATCGTTTTCAAGAGAAGGTAGTAAAATATGTGGAGCCTCTATTCTCTAATAATTGCTACATTGCGTTATGACCAACTCTTATTTATTTTTTTATTTTTTTGTGATTTCTATTCAATAATCAATTGATAAGCATGTGTGTACAACACATTGCCCATTTTTCTTTTAATGCCATACTAATCTATCCAGCAAAAAGCTATTACATTAGATCCAAAACTTAAAATATTTTTATCTCTGTAAGGGGTAGAAATCGCTACGGATCTCATCCCTCCACTTGAAGGATTCCGACTGACCTGGCGGCACCGAGCCCCAGTAGCCTTTACCTCTCTTCGCCAATAGGACTCTTTCCTAAGTCAATCTCACATCGGAAGAGAGTCGTCGGGTACCTCCTCCTTTGAGTGCAAGGACTTATATGCGAGGGGGGGGAGGTACCCGACGACTCTCTTCTGATGTAAGATTGCCTTAGGAAAGAGTCCTATTGGCGAAAAGAGGTAAAGGCTACTGGGGCTCGGTGCCGCCAGATCAGTCGGAATCCTTCAAGTAGAGGGATGAGATCCGTAGCGACTTCTACCCCTTACAATCTCTATAAATCACTTGCCCACAAAAATAATCACTCGAAATCCATCGGTATTTTTTTACTATAATATTTAGATTGTCTCCAAAGTCCAATCCTTCGATGGTTGCCAACCTCCACCATCTTTCTAGCCTCTAATATACTTCTCCATGTAAAAGATGGATTTGATGGTAACTTAGTTTCCATAATTGTAGATCGAGGAAAATACTTCACCTGTAAAACTTCATACCAAAGCGAATTCTGACTTTGATTTCCTCCATATCAATGTGCAAAGTCATAAATAAATAACAATAAAGAGGGTCATCTTGAGGCAATTTTCTACCTATTTTGATTAATCCAATTTATTCACCCTACCCTTAACAATGATGGAATGAGACACTGCCCTTGTGGTAATAATTGATTAAATCAATAAATTAGATTCAAATAACATTATTCATCGAAAATTGGTGAATCTCGATTCTCAAAACACAATCTATTATACTTTATGACACATGAATACATTTTGAAGGAAAAAGATCATATATTTGATCTGTTAAATGCCTGCACCAAATATTAGTGAATATTAACACCAAACCATACTTTGCATTTATTAGAAGATATATATATATATATATATATATATATATATATATTTACATCTTGTGCTTCTCCTCAAACTCACATGAATTTCGCATCTTGTTGTATTTTGGTGTCAAAGCCATTTGACGGCCTGGATAGTTACCCATGCAGTTATATTTAAATCGTCTTACTTGTGTTAAATCTCGTCCATTTTAATTTAGTAAATTATTGTTTAAATTCGGTCTATCCTTGTCACCCAACCTTTGTCTCCCGAGAGAGAATAGTCGATCATTCCCGTTTTGTAAGTCCTTGTGTAGGTAGTTTGAGGGAAAACAGACAGGTTCTGAGGGAATTAGTATGTTAGGGGGTATGTACAATGAAGCCAAAATTAAACAAAAATTTATAAAATTAAAAAATTAGATTTAACCATGAGTAGATTATTTAGATCTAACTCTATGGCTAGCTCATCTAGATCTTCATTAGGTACTATACCTAATATAGTAAATGAAGAAGAACATGAGTTTGGAGAAACAAGAGTAGATTGGACTGGTTGGAATATCCCGAAGGTATCCCACCGAGACATCTACAAAACTAGTTGGCTCCTTAAAGCCTTTAATGAAAAGTTACAAGTAAAAACTATTGAACAAGTTTATCCTCTCTTTAAGGATGAACAAAGTTGTCAACTGTTGAGTCCCAAAACCCTTAAGAAACATAGGGAAAAAGAATTTAACTTTATTCACCTTGGTTTAGTACAAGTAGCTATTAAACCATTAACTCAACAAGACAAGAATTCAGCAGTCTTGTTAACATTAAGAGATGCTAGGTTCCTTGAATACGAACCCAGTATCATTGGAATAATGGAAATAGGTCTTCATAAAGAACCAGTTTATTTCAATTGTTTCCCTGACTTTACCTTAAGTTTAGGATGCAAAAATACTCCCTTAGCTTTAACCTTAGGAATAAAGCTAACAGGAAGCATCACTAAATTGGTAAAAGAAACTGAATCCATAGTACTTCTCTACAGGATCTATTATAAATGCATTACCACAAACCTGAATGTGCATGCATTACAGAAAAGTCCTTTAGGAAGCACTACTTTGATTTAAGCCAGTTCTAGTCAGTCACATATCCAAGCCCCTAAGCAAATCCTATGGAAGGATGTAAAGCTCCCAGAGTCTTGGATAGTAAAAAATGAAAACCATGATAAAGACAGTGAAAATACAACCACTGACTTAGAGAGCATCCACCAGTTAGAGGATGGCTCAGTAAGAATCTCCTTTGATTCTGCAAGATCCAGTAGATCAAGCAGATTCATAAATAAACCTATTCAAATTTGTGAAGGAAGAAAATCTGACTCTAGTTCTAAGCTCTCCAGAAGAGACCAAGAAATAGATAAAGAAATTCAAAGACTATTCAAGTTAAAAGGAATAGATAATTTCTCTTCACAAATTAGTAAGCCGTGTTATACTCCACATCAAAGTATTCCACAACAGAAAAAGAAAGAAGATGATGAAGAAGATTTCACCCCTTCTCCTACTGCTAGTGACCTTCAAAGTAATAACCACCAGTTATTCATGATAAAAAAGGAAACTAGTACCTTATTCATGCCTGATATGAATAATCTTAAGGAAGATTTTCAATCAGCAGAAAATGAATCTAAAAGACAAAAGTACTTTAAAAGATTCAATAATATTCAACAAATCGAAATAAGAAGACAGTGAGTTAAGCTAATGTATAAGCTAGAAACTGAAATCTTATTTTTTGATTATCTGGATAACTTCCACAAAAAAGTTAATGTTGTTACCCAATACAAATGGAAAACAGAAAAATCCATTGTATCGTCTAGTCACCCTCCAGCAGAAACCATTGTCATTAACCATGGTAAAATTGTTGTTGCCTCTCCTTTCAAACTCTCCACATATGAGTCTGAAAAGAAAATTATTGAACAAAACAATTTTACTAACCAAAGCCTAATCACTATAGGAAAACAGTTAGATAAAATTGAAACAAAATTGATGAGATCAAACCAGGTAATAAATTAGAAAAGCCTCTAATTCAACTACCTGAGGATCGAGGTAAACTAGGAATAAAAGACAATCAAAACATTGAAAAGATTATTTCTAAAATGAAGCAGAAAGAACCAGCTTTTCAAAAGAAAGAATCCACTCCTCAAGTAACTGTCATCAACCAAACTTCTAGTAATTCAGAAGAAGATGACTCAGTAAGTTCATCAGATTATGAACTAAGTAAATTAGGAGAACAGTTTGGTGATACACATATTAACAGATTCACTTATTCAAATGTTAATCCAACCAGTATCAGTAGAAATTGGTACACCAGACCAACACCTCCTGATCTTTAATTTGAAGAAAAGAATATTAGTAATCAGTTTTCTATTCAAGCTAACAAACTCTATGAATGGAACATAGATGGTTTAAGTGAACAAGAAATTCTGAATAAGATCAATCATATGTCTATGGTTATCAACAGTTACGTAACAAATCTTAACCAAGATGAACCTGAAATAGTTGACATTATCACTTCAGAATTTACTGGTATGTTACGTAGTTGGTGAGACAATTATCTCACACAAGAAACCAGAGATGAAATCAAGAATGTTGTTGTCAAAGATGATGATGGTATGCCAATTTTTGATCAAACCATTGGTAAAGGTAAATCTGATGGTATCAATACCCTCATTTATACCATTATTAATCATTTTGTTGGTACACCCAGTAATATTGAAGCTAGAATCCATGATCAGCTTAGTAACCTAAGGTGCCCAACACTCAGTGACTTTAGATGGTACAAAGATGTATTCATCTCTAGAGTCATGCTACGCCCAGATTGCAATAAATCTTTCTAGAAAGAAAAATTTGTTAATGGCCTCCCAAATCTCTTTGCACATAAGATTAGGGATGCACTTAGTAAAGACGCAGGGGTTATTGAATATGATTCTCTCACCTATGGCAATCTTGTTAGTACCATCCAAAAGGAAGACCTTAAGATGTGTATTGACATGAAGCTCAGTAAGCAACTTGCCAATGATAAGAAAAAATTCAAATATGAAATGAGAAATTTTTGTGAACAATATGGTCTCCCTTCAGTAGCACCATCTATTGCCAGAAAACACAAAACCCATAAACCATATAGTAAAAGCAAAAGTCATTATTCTAGGAATAAAAAGACTTTTAGCAAACCTAATTTTTATGAAAATTCTAGAAAATCTTATAAGCATAAAACTTATAAGAAATATGGAAAACATGCTAGTACATCTAAGTCTAAAAAGATAAAGATGCTAAATGTTTTAACTGTGGGAAAACATGTCATATTAGTCCTAATTGTCCAGTTAAAAAACAAGTTAAAAAATTAAATTTAGCCCCACAAGAAGAAGAAGAAATTCTTAAAATCTTCAGGCTAAACAATCAGGATACAGAAGGTTCAGACTCCCATAGTAGTTCTGAAACTGAATCTGAGTACATATCAGCATCTGACAATCCCAACGAACCTAACATTAAGATAGGTTGTAAAGATAGTTGTCTCTGTAAGACAATTAATGTAATAACCAAAG